GACTACTTTTTTGGACAGATATTGGAAGAAAGATGAGAGTAATGCGTAGTAAAATGGATGGAAAAGAAAGAATTGTAATAGCAACTGATCTTGAACAACCAACAGGCATTGCAATAAATACAGTTACAAATATTGTATATTGGGCACATGGAAATCAAATTGAATGTGCTGATTTTGATGGAAAGAATAGAAGAATTTTGGTTTCTCCTGTTGGACAAGGATCAACTGTTTATTTATCTGTATTTCTTGACTTTATTTATTGGTTTGATAGAGAAACATCGAGTTTAGAACGCATCAATAAATCTGGAAACGGAAGAAAAGTAATTATGAATAAAGTGCTTACAGACTTAATTACAATAAACACTCCACAAGATGATTTAATGAAAAAGCACGTTTGTAGCCCTTTTCTGGATCATGGAGGATGTTCACATTTTTGTATTGGAACTACTTCTTCTAGGTAAGAGTAAAAGTTAAATAATACAAATATTCTTTTTATTTGTATGGAGTTTTTAACTATAAATATAGCAAAATTGATATTTATAAAAAAAATTAAAGAACTGCTGTTTTTAGATGTTCTTGTCCAAAATCTTTGGTTTTATCTGAAGATGAAAAAACCTGTAGAGCTGCACCAGCCTGTGGAACAGATCATTTTACGTGTACTGCTCCTAGTTCTGCAGTGGCAAAAGATTGTATACCCGCGACATGGAAATGTGATGGTCAAACAGACTGTCCCGATGGAAGTGATGAATTGGGTTGTCCAACTTGTAGTCGTGAACAATTTAAGTGTCAAAGTGGTCATTGTATTGGTAAAATCATCTAATATCAAATTAATGAAAATAAAATAATTATTTCAACTATCAATCTAAAATAGTAAAATTGTCTGTATAAAATAATATTAAATTTTTTCAGATATGTCTTGGGTGTGTGATGGAACACCTCAATGTCATGATGGCTTGGATGAAGCTCATTGTTGTCGTCCAGGTCAATTTCAATGCATTGGAAATGGTGTTTGCATCTCTGGTTCAGCTCTCTGTGATGGTTGGGATGATTGTGCTGATGGAAGTGACGAACTTGCATCTGCATGTACACCTGCAAACAATCCTCGACAAGAAAATAATTCATTGGAATCTGGAAAAATTACTTACGTTATTATTGTACCTATTGGATTAATTGCAACAGTTGCTGCAATTGCTTTTGGATTTTATTATTGTAGAAGGAAATTTATAAATAATGAAGAATTGCCAGATATTTTACACGATTCAGCTGGAGATCCATTATCACCAAAACCAACCAGATTAGCAAAACCAATGTTTGCACAAAAAAATTGTAGAAAAGATTTGAAAATGGGAATGGAGACTGTAAGGATGTCAATGTTAAATGGAAGCAGTATAGGATCAAGTTACGATCGAAGTCACATTACTGGTAAGTTCATTACTTACAAACTAACATGAGGTCGTCATGTTAGGAGGACTCACCCTGTATGTAATACAATACAATACAAAAAACAGCACAATAAAATATAATGTAAATATAAAAATATTTAAAACATATAACAAAAATATAGTGCATATACCAATATGTATACATTACTCAATAAGTTCTTAATAAAAATAGAATAAAATATTTATAATACTCAAAACTACAATAATGAAAATTGTAATTCAAGGAGCGTCAAGTTCAACTCGAGATAGTTCCACAGGAGGTTATCCGCAAGAAACATTAAATCCCCCTCCAAGTCCAGCCACAACAGCGAATTCTACCAGGTGTTCAAGTAGTAATGCATCTAGGTACAAACCTTATAGACATTACAGAAGCATAAATCAACCCCCACCTCCAACACCTTGTAGCACGGATGTTTGTGATGAATCAGACAGCAATTATCCAGCAAGATATCGATATGAAAGCGAACCTTATCCTCCACCCCCTACTCCAAGATCTGTTTACCAGAGTGATGCTGGAATTAGTTGCCCTCCTTCTCCTAGTTCACGATCTTCTACATATTTCAGCCCACTACCACCACCTCCTTCTCCTGTTCCTTGAATTTATTAAAAATTTGTAAAAATTTTATTTTTAGAAAGTGACATTTTTGATAAGTTTTTACAAATTATTTAGATTACAATACTTGTTTTATTGAAATGCTTATATTTTATAAACAGAATGAGTAAAACAAATGTTTTCAAAATATTCAGGACTGAAAAAAGCAAATATCGAAT